TAATGATCTTAACCCCCTGTGTTCCTATAATACCTCCTCTTTCTCTTCAACAGAACTCTGGGATCTTGGCCCACTGTTTAGCTAAGGGTCTCTGCAACACTTCCATTAGCTACTGGATCAAGGTTCTGTGATGACAATTAGGTGGTCATCAATCTCATTACTGGGAAAGGCCAGTTCAGGCGCCCTCTCTACTATTGCTTGAAATCATTGCTGTGGTCATCCCTGTGGATTACTGAATTGTTCGTTAGCACCAGATTTCTCCTTAACCCCATAACAGCTCCCTCTATCAAGATATCTTTTTCCTTGCTTTCCCTCTCTGTCCCTCCCATTCCCATTCCCTAATGTTATCTTCCCAATCCAGTTAACCCATCCCTTCCCTATGTGCTCCCAATTTACTCAGTAGATATTTTCTATTTCTCCTTCCCAGGGGCATCCAAACAAGTATCTCTTAGTGTCCTCCTTTTTACCTAACTTCTCAGATTTGTGGATTGTAGCTTTGTTATCCTTTCTTTAAGTGTAATATTCATTTATGCATGAGTTCATACCATGTTTGTCTTTCTGGGTCTGATCTACCTCACTCAGAATGGTATTTTCTAGTTCTATCCAATTGCCTACAAATTCCAATGTCATTTTTTCCGCTGAGTAATATTCCACTTTGAAAATGTATCATATTTTCTTTATTCATTCTTTGGTTGAAAGGCATCTAGGTAGTTTCCCGGTTCTGGCTATTAATAATAATGCTCCTATGAACTTAGTTGAGCGTATCTTTGTGGTTTGAATGTGCATTATTTGGGTGTACTCCCAGAGTGGTATTGGTAGAACTTGAGGTAGACTAATTCCCAATTTTCTGGAAAACCACTATTCTTATTTCCATAGTGACTGTACAAGTTTGAACTCCCACAGCAAGGGAGAAGTGTTTCCCTTACTCCAAACCCTCAACAACAAAAGCTGTCACCAATGTTTTGGTATTAACCATCTGACAGGTGTAAGGTGTCTCAAGTCATTTTGATTTTCATTTCCCTGATTTCTAAGCATGCTGAAAAAATTGTTTAAGTGTATTTTAGTCATATTAGATTCTTCTGTTGAGAATTCCGTTTTGATTTGTACCCCAATTTTATGTGGATTATTTGGTATTTTGATGTCTAGTATATTTTGATGTTATATATTCTTGAGTTCCTTATATATTTTGAATGTCAGTCCTCTGTCTGATGTGGGATTGGTGAAGATTTTTTCTCATTCTGTAGGTTAAAATTTTATCTTATTTACTATGTCCTTTGCCTTGCAGAATCTTCTTAGTTTCAGGTCTTGGAATTTATTCCATATATCTGCTTTTATGCCAATACCAAGCTGCTGTTATTACTATTGCTTTATAGTAAATCTTAAAGTCAGTAATGGTGATGCTTCTAGAGGTTCCTTTATTGTACATTATTGTTTTTGCTATCTGGGAGTTTTGTTTTTCTATATGAAACTGACTATTGTTCTTTTGAGGTCTGTGAATAATTGTGATGAGATATTGGTGAGGATTGCTTTGAGTCTGTGGATGGCTTTTGGTAAGATTGTCATTTTTACTATTTTTACATTTATCCTATTTATGCAAGAGCTAGGGAGACCATTTCATTTTATGATATCTTCTTCACTTTTATTTTTCAGAGACTTAATGTGCTCACCATATAGGTCTTTCATTTATTTTGTTAGAGTTCCCACATGATATTTTATATTATTTGTGACTGTCATAAAGAATGGTGTTTTTTCTGATTTCTTTCTCATCTTCTTAATCGTTTGTATATAGGAGGGCCGTTGTTTTTTGGGGTTTTTTTGGCTTTTTTCTTGCATCCTGCTACATTACTGAAGATATTTATCAACTGTAGGAGCTCCCTGGTAGAATTTTTGGAGTCACTTATGTATACTATTATATCATCCACAAATAGAAAAAGTTCAACTTCTTCCTTTCTAGTTTGTCTCCCCTCGATCTCTTTCTGTTTTATTATTGTCCTAGCTAGAACTTTGAGTACAGTATTGAATAGATATGAAGACAGTGGATAGCATAGTCTTCTTTCTGATTTTAGTGGAACTGCTTTGAGTTTTTCACCATTTAGCTTGATGATGGCTGTCACCTTGCTGTATTTTGCCTTTACTATGTGTATGTATGTACCTGTATTCTGAGATCTCCAAGACATTTTTCTTGAAGAAGTGTTGGATTTTGTCATAGGACTTTTCAGCATCCATTGAGATGATCATGTTTTTTTTTTTCTTTCAGTTTGTTTATACGGTGGATTACATTGACAGATTTTTGTGGGTTGAACCATCTCTAGATCTCTGGAAAGCCTACTTAATCATGGTGGATTATTTTTTGATGTGTTCTTAGATTTGCATTGCCAATGTTGTATTGAGTATTTTTGCATCAACGTTCATAAGGCAAATTGGTTTTAATTCTTTTCCTTTGTTGATTTTTATATGGTTTGCATAACAAGGTAACAGTAGCCTCATAGAGTTTGTCAGTGTTCCTTCTGTTTCTGCTGTGTGTAACAATTTGAGGGGTAAAGGAATTAGTTCTTCTTTGAAATTCTGGTAGAATTCTGAGGTTTTTGAAGTATGACCTAATGATTCCCTAGTTTCTTTGGTGTCTATTGTTATATCCTCCTTTCTACTTATGATTTTGTTTATTTGGAAATAATCTCTCTGTCTTTTGGTTAGGTTGGATAAGGGTTTTCCTATCTTATTGACTTTCTCAAGGAACTAACTTTTTGTTTCATTGATTCTTTGTATTGTTCTCTTTGCTTCTATTTTATTGATTACAGTCTGTAGTTTGATTATTTTCTGTCATTTACTCCCTCTTGGTGTTTTTGTTTCTCTTCTTAGAGAGCTTTCAGGAGAGATGTTAAAGTCGGTAGTTTACAAATCTGGGAGCCCTTGTATATGGGACATAAATGTAGCTAAACATAGATATTAATTATGGTTAATTTAAGTTGTATGAGATAGATAATAATAAACTGGAACTAAAAGGCCAAACAGCTTATAATTAATATAAGCTTCTATGCTTCTTTCATACTGAATGACTACAGGGCTAGGAAGAACAGAAAGTTGCATCTACATTTGTGGTCTCTTAGTGTCTGCAAAACATCTATCCAGGAATTACTGGCCTTCATAGTCTCCATTTAGAAGTCAGACATAATCCTGATAGGTGTGTCTTTATATGATACCTGATCTTCATCTTTTGCAGCTCTTAATACTCTTGATTTATTCTTTATCTCTTTTTTCCCTATATGTTTAGTGTTTCAATCATTATGTGTTGAGGGGATTTTGAACGGTTCACTCTATTTGGTGTTATGTCAGCATTTTTTTCCTTCATAGACATGCACTTCTTTAGGCTGGGAAAGTTTTCCTCTATGGTTTTGTTGAATATATTTTCTGTGCCTTTGAGCTAGATAGAGTTTTGCTTTTTCTGTCACTATCATTCTTAAGTTTGGTCTTTTCATGATCTCCCAGATTTTCTGCTGTTTTGTATTAAGAATTTGTAGGATTTGACCTTTTCTTACTAATAAATATATCTCTTATATTCTGTTGGTTAAGCTTGCATCTATGCTTCCTGACATTTCACCCGAATTTTCTTTTTCAGAATTCCCTCGGGTTGTATTTTCTTTATTGCTTCTTTTTCAATTATGAAGTATTGAAATGTTTCTTTCACCTGTTTGATTGTGATTTTCTTGTGCTTCCTGACTTTCTTTAAGGATTTATTAATTTCTCCCAATTTTTTGGTTGTCTTTTAATTCACTTCGTTAAGAGAATTTCTCATTTTCTTTTAAAGTGCCTCTGTCATCTTAATAAAGTACCAAAATGGGTAATTATAGGTGCCTCTGTTGATTCTTCCTCCAATTGGCATAAGTAAAGTCTGTGTCTCTGGGTATCCTTTAATGTCACAGGGGCCGGTGGTAGAGTAGATTGTCTATCGTAGTCTTGCCTGCTTACAGGCTGTTGGAGATCTTCCTCCAAATGATGCAGGTGGGGGATGTTCCTCCAGGGGCCTCTGATGTGATGGGCTGTGGGAAAAGGGCTTCATTCTCTAATTGGTGCAGATTGTGGCTGTGACTCTCCAGAGTGCGCACCTGCTACTGTCACTCCAGTCAGTGCATGTGGGGTGGGGCTGTGATTCCAGGGCCTTATGATGCAGCTGGAGATGTTGGCGGAGTGATCTGGCCACAGGAGACATTCCTGCTGATGAGCTGCTATTTTAGTATGGGGGAGGGAGGGGTGGAGGAAGTACCACATGACCTAGGCACTAGAGTGCTGGGGTATCTAGCCAGGAGAGTGGGTCTGTCCAGTCAGGAGAACAGCCACTTCTCTCTTCCTCCAGTCAGTACAGTTGGTGACTGTTCCTCTGGTGTCCTCTAATGCAGCTTTGGATGGTGGTGGAGTGCCCTGGACTCATGAGAATCACCTGCTGTCTTACCACTAAGGATTGTATATGAGAAGTCAATGGCTTAGCCCTGTGCAATATAAAGCTGAAAAGGCAGAGAACCAAAGCATCCTATCAGTTGTATCAGCCTACTTCCTGGTTATCAAGAAACTAACAAAGTAACACACTAACTAGCAAACCCAGTGAATAATCCCACCTCTTAAAAGTCATTTATATTAAACTAGATTGTGAAGATGAAATGGGATTTTGTAATTATGAAAATGTTTCTAGATAGTCCTGGGAGAGATTACTCAGAGGGTAAAATATTTTTCCTGAATTTGTAAGGGCATGAGTTCAAGTCCCTACTAACCACATTGATGCTGTTTGATGCTCTGCCTGCAATTCCAGCACACGGGGGTACCTGGTGAAAGATGAATGCCTAGACTAGCTTCAAAGGTAGGGCTTGTTTCAAATTAAACTAGCAGGGTGGGGAATCATAGTAATTGGCATGACCAAGGGATTAGAGAGGAGCCAGGTCAACTGCCAAAAACAGTTGGTGAAGAGCGTGACTCAAAGGGGTGATGTGATGTTCACATGCCAGTTCAGATGTGAGATCCAACAACAGGAAACCACAGATCACTCTGCTCTCTTTATCAGCCTTCCTCAAGCACCAATCTCATAGCGTTCTCCAGGCTACAGAAGTCTTTCACGTAGATGGCCGACTAGGTGGACACTTCACTTTGCTACAGGTCAGCTTGCCACCTCCTGTGTGGAAAACAGAGGAAAGGTAAGAGGCTTCATGAAACCCTTCTCCCAAAGATTTTATCTCTTTTTCTTAGTCTGTGACCAGCTAACTACACCTTGAGGTGGAGAATCCAAGAAGTCTGGGTGTTCCTTAGGGCACAGGAGTTACAAAAGTTACTCTTTAGCATTGCAGGTTGGCAAACATGACTTCAGGAGATAGGAATTCTATGAACCAGGTCAGTGACCACTTCTTTCTTGTATTTCTCATCATTCTTCTATCATCTCAACTATTCGCACATTCTTTATTGTGAAGATTATGACTCATTGTTACAGGTACCCTCTATAAAAGAATGGTCTGTCAGTAACTCAAGTCATCTGTTTCCTGGAATGGGAAGTTTACAGTTTTTGTGCATTTCTATCTCTGTAGGAAACAGATGCTCTAAAACTCAGTGACTGAAAGAACATAATTAAGTATAGTTTATTAATAATATACACATTTATGGAAATTTACACATATTTAAATACAACTCCTACTCAAGAAGTACACATGGAGTATGTAAATGTATCAATAGTAATAATCATCTGAACCAAGAGTTGGGTGACACTGTGGATATAAGTGTAGTTGTGCTAATTCAGATATATAACTAATTGACTATTTTTGTTTTCATAATTTGATTTCTGTGTACAATGTACTCCTACTGCCCTCCGGAGCCTCCCCTCTCTTACCTCCATCTCATCCATTAAAACTTCCTCCTCCATCCCTACTAGACTCTTTCCCAGATTAGTCAATTTCGATCATGTTTGCAATATAGCAAAAGATAAGAGATATGTCCTTAATGTTTCATACATGGAAGGGTGTGCAGTTTGATTATAATTGATTGCTCTCAGGATGTTGAATACAACTTTCCATGATCTCCTTGTTTTAGATATTTTCATAGAATTGTGCTAGTTTTATGACAAGTTTAATTTCTCATGTAAAATAACACATGCCCATTCAGCTCTGACCATCAGCATTCTGCATGTACCATCTGCCCTTGACACTTGTCACTACAGTTTGTTGTGTTTGGGTTCACTTCCTGTTGTGTTCATTTGGAATTTTCCCTCTGTTTAAATGTCCAGCTCCTTATGGAGGTCAAGAAGAACCAGTGCTCTAGTTCATGGAAGTAGTTCTTCTGTGCTTTAGTCTGTGTCTCAGACCTATACTTTTCATGAAGGATTCATATGTTTGGTCTCTAAAGTGAGTCTCATATTCCTTATATTTTTCTCCTTTTGCTTTATTACCTTTTCCCACAATTCATGATTTTCTAGACTCACTATGTAGCTCAGACTGTCCTAGAACTCATGGAATTCCTCTTTTTCCATCCAAGAGTACTAGTATTCCAAAGGTAAGCTAACATGGCTGATAGAAGAGTTTCTATTACCCTCCTCTTAAAGACCACCATTATCTCCAAACCCTGAAGATGTACCTGTGTGTCACAATACCCTCTACTTAACACAGTTGCCATTTATTTCCTTCTCTCTCTTTTTCCTCCATATTAAAATTTTGAGTCCTGAAGAATGTTAGAAATTCAGTTCATTTCAGAATTCTATACCTAATTCTTCAAGGTCAGAAGTTCTCAGCCTTCCTAAAGATTCTACTCTTTAATACAGTTCCTCATGTTATAGTGACCATCTAAGCATGAAACTTTTTATATTGCTATTTCATAACTATAATTTTGCTACTATTATTAAATGTAATGTGAATATATGATTTGGGAAATATATTTTAAGTTATTTTTTTAAAAAAATCATTTTTTCTCATTTTAAATGCTAAATTCATTTCCCAGTCCCTCTCTTCCTCCTTTCTTCCTCCACCTTCCCTCTCCTACCCTACCCCACACCTCCATCCACTCCTCAGAGAAGGTAAGGATTCCCATGGGGAGTAATCAGATCTAGCACATTGCTCTGAGGCAGGACCAAAGCCCTCCCAACTATATCTAGGTTGATCAAGGTATCTCTCTAGACAGAATGAGTTCCAAAATGCCAGAACAAGCAGTAGGAATAAACACTGGTCTCACTGTAGTGGTCCAACAGTCAGTCCAGCCATATAACTGCCAACCACATTCAGAGGGCCTAGTTTGGTCTTATGCTAGTTTCTTCACTCTCAGGCCAGAGTTGTGAGGCTTTCATTAGCTCAAGTGAGCTGTTTCAGTGGGTATCCCCATCTTGATCATGACCTCTTTGCTCATGTTCTCACTCCTCACACACTTCAACTGGACTTTGGGAGCTCAGCCCAATGCTCCACTGTGATTCTCTACATCTGCTTCCATCAGTTCCTCGATGTAAGTTGCTTAATGACATTTAAGATAGTCATCAATCTGACTACAGGGCAAGGCCATTTCAGGCATTCTCTCTACTATTACTTAGAATCTTAACTGAGGTCATTCTTGTGAATTCCTGTTATTTTCTCTAGTGTTTGGTTTCTTGCTAATCCCATAATGGCTCCCTCAATCAAGATATCTCTTTCTTTGTTTTCCATCTCTGTCCTTCCCCCATCTCGACTATCCCATGCCCTCTAGTTCTCCTCCCCCAACCCCTTCTCCTCTCTTCCATCCCTTCCACCTTCCCTTCTCCCTCCACACCCACACTATCAATTTTTTCCAGAGATATTGTCTATTTCTTCTTCCCAGGGAAATTTATGTATGTTTCTCTTAGGATTTTCCTTCTTTCTCTGAGATCATGGGCTGTAGACTCCTTATCCTTTCCTTTACAGTTTGTATTCATCTATGAGTGTGTACATACAATCCTCATTTTTGTTGGTCTGGGTTACCTCACTCAGGACAATTTCTTCAAGTTGTATTCACTTGCATGCAAATATCAAGATTTTTACTGCTGAGTAGTACTCCATTGTACAATTTTATCACATTTTCTTTAACCATTTTTCAGTTATGGGGCATAATGGTTGTTTTTAGGTTCTGGCCGTTACAAATAATGATGTTATAAACATAGCAAAACAAATGTCTTTGTAGGATGGTTTATCATTCTTTGGGTATATGTCTAAGAGTGGTATTGCTCAGCCATGCAGTAGGTTGATTCCCATTTTTCTAAGAAACTGATATACTGATTTCCAGAGTAGTTGTACAAGTTTGTATTCCCACCAGCAATAGAGAAGTGTTAGTCTTATGCCTCATCCTCTACGACATAAACTATTATTCATGTTTTTGTTCATAGGCATTCTGACAAGTGTAAGATGGTATCTCAGTCATTTTGATTTGAATTTACCCAATGGCTAAGGATTTTGAACATTTCCTTAATGGTCTTTTTCCACCATTTGAAATTCCTCTGTTAAGAATTCTTTGTTTAGATCTGTACCCCATTTTTAATTGGATTATTTGATATTTTGATGTCTAATTGCTGGAGTTCTTTGTATATTTTGAAGCTCATTTCTTTGTCTGATGTGGGGTTAGTGAAGATCTTCTCCCATTCAGTAGGCTGTCTTTTTGTTTTATTGACTGTGTCCTTTACTTTACAGAAGGTTCTCATTTTCAGGAGGTCCCACTTATTATTGTTATTCTCTGTACAACTGGGGTTTTATTTAAAGTGGACTTCTGTGTCCATTTATTGAAGGGTCTCTCCCACTCTTTCTTTTCTCAGGTTTCACGTGGTCAGATTTATATTGAGGACTTTAATTTAATTTAGGAGAAGGATGCAGGTGACTCAAGCTGTGATTGAGCTGATGCTGGACTTTGTGATTTTTAGCAACACCTTTGTACACTAAGCCTTAGATTCTCTGATGCACATGTGCTGGAGGCTGTGGTTACAACCACAAACACCAGGCAAGTCTAGAGCTTATTTATAGGACATTGATTTTAGCTAAAGGGACAGGGACATGAACAAGTTGTTTTCATAAATAGAGATACAAATTGTGTTGATTAGAGAGAATGAAAGACAAAATGGCCTGAGAGATGAAAGGAAACCATGTGGTTTACCCACTCATTATCCAGCCCTGAAAAAGGACTGCAGAGCATGTGGCTGATACTTCAGCCTGACTCTCATGTCTGCTAGAGAATGTAACTTCTTTCCACTCAGACTATTCCAGTTTATGGAAGTCTTCTAAGTGTGTGGATGATTGGCAGTTGTCTGTTCTGAATAAAGAAACAGATCAGGCACCTAGCTGTCTGTATTACTTGGCATTATTAATTTTTCCTCTTCTTGATTCCATTCTCCTGCCTGAATTCAGAATTTTGCTGCAACAAACCAATGTTTAAGAGTTCATTTTGGATTTGACTTGGTCATTTTTTCCTAAGATTGCTATAGGCAGATTTAGTGTAAATAGAGGCTGCTCATTCATTTCCTGGCCACCCAGACATCTGAAACAATCACACAAAAATTTGTATGAATTGCAAGACTGTATGGGCAATACCTTAAGCATATTTCTGGCTAACTCTTGTACCTTAAATTAACCCATCTCTATTAATTTGTGTATTGCCAATTAGCAGTGGCTTACTAGCAAGTCTCTGGTGGGCTCCAGTGGAGAAATCTGTCTCCTAAGGGAGGCTACATGGCTTTTCCCTGACTCCACCTACTCTCTCCTCTCTTTCTCATATATATATATATATAATATATTTAAAATATATATATATATATATCTTATAAATATATATCAATAGATAGATAGATACATAGATAGATACACAGATATAGATACATAGATACAAAGTTGATTGATAGATCTTTCTGTCTGGCTATATTTTATTAGGTGTAACATGATGGGGGCTGGCTTGTTCAGATTTCTGTCCTGCCCAGCCCCCCAGCTGTTTAGTTCCAGAGAAAAATCACACAGGGATCTCTGTAAGTTATTAAGCTGATTGGCCTTTTAGGTCAGGCTTCTTATTAACTAACTCTCACATCTTGATTAACCCACTATTCTGATCTATTTTAGCCATGTGGCTCAGTACCTTTTCCAGTTGGGCAGCTCACATACTGCTGCTTCAATGATCTGGGCAGGAGTGGGAGGAATCAACTTCCTCCTCCCCAGAATTCTCTTACTCTCCTTGCATCATT